GTTACGTTACGTTACGTTACGTTACGTTACGTTACGTTACGTTACGTTACGTTACGTTACGTTACGTTACGTTACGTTACGTTACTTACTACTACTACTACTACTCTACTCTCTCTCTCTCTCTCTCTCTCTCTCTCTCTCTCTCTCTCTCTCTCTCTCTCTCTCTCTCTCTCTCTACTTCAGTAGATGCTTGATTCTATTGGTTGTGTTATTCATTTATGGGGAATTTATCGAATTTTTTTGGGTAAATAGAAATTATGAGAGATGCATTATTTAGTTTTTTACGCTTTTGATAGTATTCTAACTCATGATCATATGTCTTTCTATGGATATTTTGGAATTAAATCAAACAATATGGGTACAGTTTTAAATTGTTGATCTCACATGTGTTTTTTATAATATTCCCTTCATTTATATCATTCATGCTTACTGTACATGGAGCCGACCCATAATAGTTGGGATAAGGTTTGGATGATGATGATGCTTTTTGTAAATGTAGTAAACATCCTATAGAACAACAATGTTGCAAACATAGTTATTGGGATCGAGCGTGGGACGAAGAGTGGGATCGGGATCGGGAGCAGGGGATTATGAAATGCTAGAAGATCCCTTTGGTTGGGAGCACCATTGTACAATGTATTGTTAGCGATCTAGAACCCCAAATGTTAGTAATCGAGATCCCAACCTTTTTGGGATCTTGATCCCGACCTTTGGGATCTTGATCCCGACCTTTGGGATCTTGAAGAGGGGATCTTGCTCTCTACCTTAAAGAGTATGGATACTCTTAACAAAGCTATATACTCTTTAGTAGGGAACTCTTTACTTATAGCCAACAATTAATGCAACTATATTAAAAGTATAATTGTGTTGCTAGTAGGCTATAAATGAAGAAAATCATCAGTTTGGTTGTTATCTTGGTCTTGGGATCGAGATCCCTAACAATAGGAATTGGGATCCATGATAATAGGGATCGAGATCCCAAAACTTAAAAATCAAGATCCCTTGAAGATCCTTTTCCCGGAGTGCCGGAGGAAGATTCCAGAGCGTGATTGCCACCTATGTTGGGAGATCCCAGTAATTATGGTTGCAAACATCTGTGGTATGCAATAACAAACAAAAGGGTGAAATTCAAAGAGGAAGAAGAGAATCTATTAATGATGCATAGCTATTTTCCGTAAGCTACAGTGGTAATGTTCCTTTCAAACATGATATCACACACATGCATACATATATGACAAATAATTTTGTCTTTATTTTGACCACGCAATATTACCATCTTGTATGACGCAGTTCGTGCTGGATTTACTTATTTGTAACTTAATGTGTATCTTTGTTCGATATATATGCATTTTCTGCATCCATCAAGGTGGATCCCTCAAGTGAAGGAGTAGCCAAGTATGCAACATTAGTAAGAAGTCATATGGTTGGACCAATCTAAATGATTTGTCAATTAACAAATCTGAGCACCATTATTAGGATAAATTAAAGCTTTGAAGAAGCGAAGCATATGAACACAAGGTTTATATATGTATATTCATTAGCTTCATATGCTCATTTATTTAAAATTTGATTTTATTTGAATTATAATTTGTATGTTATTCCATCTTCATATCCAATGTTTGGGAAATTGCCTTGTCCAAGGTACTCGGCCCTTTGCTGAGGCCAGTAACTCGGCCTTGTCCGAGTGGACTAGGCGGACTTATGCACGCCCCTCTAGAATGTTCAAAAAAAAAAGAGGAAAACGTTTCCAAAAAATATACAAAAGTAGGGAAATATTTAGAGGTAATAGAACTCATTAGAAACGAAGATCATTGAAAATTTGATTAATACCTTGGACCATTGTGTTCATCTCTGAGTCCTCTATCCTCTCTCCAAATTTCATGGTCAGAAGACTCGTCATCAGAAAGTGACAGAAGAAATATGAAGAAATGTCAATATTAGGCGCTCCAAATCCATTTTTCTAGAGCAGAAATTGGACTTAGAGGGGTTTAGAATGGTTTTTGGGTCCTCACTCCTTCAAATAGATAAGTTTTTAGGGGGACTGCGGTGTTTGCATGAGGCCCTGCCTCATCCTAACAGTGCCCGGCATGTGTATGAATATGGTACACCATAGAGACTTTCAGCATCCATCCCAGATGATGGATTCTGGAGACCAATCATGGCTCATGGTAGTTTTTTCTTAGGTACGACTAATCTCGATCATCCATTACTGGAGAAACAATGTTGGATGTTCTCATAGCGTATTATTTATCAAGCACCACTGGTGCATTGTAGTTCTTTTAGTAGGTGGTATATACTTTTCCAAGGAAAAGTGTAGTACAATCCTCATGATCATGGGAGATCAATAGTAATGAGGGTCATCACTGTTCCATCAATGGGTTATGAAGAGCGGGACCAGCCTGTCCTTTGCAGCATTTACAACAGACTAAGTGAAGCGACTGCTGCTGGAAAGACTTTGGGACACGCCTGAACGGGTTTTCAGGGGTCCTTTTGGGCTTCCAGAACTCACAACAGGTACCGTCGTTGACAGAGGTGTAACCCTCGTTTTCCTCTTAAGGGCATTTTGGTCGTCTGGCCCAATTGCCGTGCCTGAGCAGGTGGTAACAACAGTTATCAATCCTTCAGCAAGGGCTGTTTCTACCCCTGGCCCTTTGGCACTGAGTTCCCCATTCGATGTGCGTCCGGACATGGTTCATGCAATGCTAGGCACTGCTCTTCCGCTTTGTTTGTGTTATTTGTCCATTCTTATATTGTCGCTGGATTCTGACCCTAGGTACCAATTGATGAATGGCGTGAAATTTTGTTTTTCTTTTTTAAAGAAAAATGTTTATGTATTTTTTTTATATTGCATTCTATTTATGAGACTTTTGTTTTGTTCCTTCACATTTGCATCATCTGAATTGTGCAAGAACCATGGATCAAGAGTTTGTGACGTTTGTTTTGAGTAGATTGTAAGCTTCTTACATCATTGTTATATCTGAATCTATTATCCAAATAACCATTGGAGATCTATGAACTATTCTATGATAATATATACTTTTTCTCCCCTGAATCTTTAGACATTTTGTGTAAAGATGCTGCTTTGACCTTGTATGTGGACTGAAGATGCCTTTCTTGACAAACTTGTATGGGCGGTTACAATTTAAAAAAAAAAAAAAAAAATTGTATGGGCAGTTTTTTGGTTACCATTTGAAAGAAGAAATTGCCTAGAGGGAGAAAAGGATCATCTTCTTCAGAAAGTGTTTCTATCTGGGTGAAGCATCATCATGAAATGGGGGTGGGTAGTTCTAAGGTTTTTCCTTTTGAAAATCTGGTATTTCCCTGTGAAATGCAATCTATTTCATTCTACATTTGTCTTTCCTGTGATTTTGGACGTTGGTGTGGTGACTTGAAATTGATTTCCTTAGTACAACTTTCTGTTACAACTTTTCAGGTCTTCTTGGTCACCATTTGACCTTGTTGGTTTGTATGTCAAGCTTTTATGTGTTTGAGTTGGCTGCCTTGTCTCATTCACTATTGGCCCCTATACATCCTTTTATATTTTAATTTGTATTCTGTTTTGTTTTGAAAGAAAAGTGGTTTTGAAACATACAGGTGCTTCACTTTGCTTTTACTGGCATTTAGGATTTGGTAGCCCGTTCAATGTAATCAATGAAGAGTTTGAAATATTCCATTCCTGTTTCAGATATATAGAACTGCATGCTAGCCTTCATCTAATTACAGTGTGCACTAAAGCACCATTAGACGCATTGAATCAATATGAAGGCACTAATACTTGTTGGGGGGTTTGGTACTCGCCTGAGGCCATTGACGCTTAGTCTTCCAAAGCCACTTGTGGATTTTGCTAACAAGCCCATGATTCTTCACCAGGTAATTGGTTCACAGCACCCAATTTAGGGGCTGTCTTCTTAAACTGATAAGCATTTCATGGATTAATAGTTAGTTGTTGTGCTGAGAGTTATTTAGTGTTATATTAAATGTGACCTGAACTTAATTTCCTTTTCTTATTTCTTTCTTAGATTGAGGCTCTAAAAGCAATTGGGGTGACTGAGGTTGTTCTAGCAATCAATTACCAACCAGAGGTAAACAAGGGTTTCCTACGCTTGTTCGCTAGATTTTATTCATTTGAAACCATGACCTTTTTTGTTCACTGCCAACCTTGGAAGGAAGCCAAATGTTGATTAAAAAAGTTAAATAATAAATGTTTGGACTCGAAGTTATCTGTTACCCATCACAGTTAATTGAGAAACAGTTTTAAAGTGGTTATGTAGTTTATTCCTATGAATTTCTGAATTTAGATAAAGCAAAAGGTTAGCATACGAATTTTGCTGGAAATTGCTATTTTGGCATCAGAAAAAGTCAAACTGATTTGTCTCGAACTTTGAATTTAGGGATCTCAAAAACCGGATTTTAAGCCCTAAAAGCATTGTGTCTTGTAATACATTATCTGGACCATCCATTTTCAATTCTTCATAGATCTGCACCAGTTTTAGAGCTTCAAAATTCATAATCAGTGGGAGATTTAAATTTTCAGGCCCTCAAAGGGGTTTCCGGTGCCTGAACTGCATTCCCTAGTAGGGTTTTGTCAGTGCGGCATGACCTTTTTTCATAAAGCCTAGGCCTTATGCTAACCACACCCTTAGTAAATGTCATTAGACAAATATTAGCATGTTGGAGGTCATAATTTCGATTTTTTAGGGTAAAAGGCTTTTTTGTTGCTTTTGTGATTTCTATAGTATGGATGCTTTTGTCATTTCTTTAACAGATTCTATGCTTTGTATTTTTATTCAGTTGGGCCATCATGTGAAATGTTAACCTTGGGGTTGTTGCAGATAATGTTGAACTTCTTGAAAGATTTCGAGGAAAAACTCTGTATCAAGATTACATGTTCACAGGAGATGGAGCCACTGGGCACTGCAGGTCCATTGGCCCTTGCTAGGGACAAACTGATTGATGATTCTGGGGAGCCCTTCTTCGTCCTCAACAGTGATGTCATAAGTGAGTTCCCGCTTAAGGAGATGATTGAATTCCACAAGGCCCATGGCAAAGAGGCATCTATAATGGTAACCAAGGTATTCTGGAATTTCTATGCCTCCTTTTTTATGATGTCTAGATGCCCAAGCCTCGCCGTTTTGCTTGAAAACTGGCAATCTCTCTCTCTCTCTCTCTCTCTCATGTGAACTTCGGTTTTTATTGATTTTCAAGAAGTTATATTCAGAAAGAACAGAAATACTTGGTCATTACAGTGAAGTTTCAAGTGAGAGGGGACAGTATTCCCGTTCCTCCCATTAGTCCCCATCCCCTGGTACCTTACTTTGCCAGGGATTTTTCCATGGTTTCATTGACATCTATCTCTCTGGAAATTTTACTTTCATGGCTACGTATTGCTGTCAGCTTTCGCACATGTAATAGTTCTAGAGCACATTCAATGCAACTTCTTGAAAATCAAACCACAGGGAGAGAGAGAGAGTCAATGTGAATTCTTGAAAATCAAACCACAAGGGGGGGAGAGAGAGAGAGAGAGAGTCACACATATCCTTGTCATGGCAACTATTATTTAAACTCCTATATCTTTGTCCTCACCCTGCTTTCCCCTTCTCCCTAGGTAGATGAGCCCTCAAAATATGGGGTTGTGCTTCTAGACGAAGAAACAGGTGAGGTCAAGGAATTTGTTGAGAAACCCCAGATCTTTGTGGGCAACAAGATCAATGCTGGCATCTATCTTCTTAACCCCTCTGTTCTCGACCGCATCCCTCTCAAACCCACATCTATCGAGAAACAAATCTTCCCCAAAATTGCCTGTGAAAACCAGCTCTATGCAATGGTCCTCCCTGGCTTTTGGATGGACATTGGCCAGCCCCGGGATTACCTCACAGGCATGTTAAAAAGAAAGCAAATTGCAAGTATATGTTACAAGGACTGTTATATTAGAAATCGTGGCCAGGTTTATTTTTTATATAATTTGACACCACACACACACGTGTGCACGTGAATACACACACACTATTTTCTGTTTCCTGCAACTGTTTAGTAACAGCCAATTATTTTTGTTATATTTGTACATCACCCATGTTTTGCTATCTATTCCCATGCAACATGGTTGGAAGTCCACATGTTTGTGATGAGAGTAGCAAAAATGTCAAAGTCCCTATAGCTTATTCTTGGTTTCAAAACTCCTAATATTGAACCCTTCCATCTATGATTTAATCATGCACCATCGGTTTCCCGCTTTTCTTTATTATAAAGGCCGTTACTATCCCCCGGTGTCCTATTCCAGCTTAATCCTATTCCAGCTTAACATACTTTTAAATCTTTTTCACAGGTCTAAGGCTCTACCTAAATTATCTTCGCCGCATCAGCTCTCCATTGCTTGCATCCGGGCCCCACATCATAGGCAATGTGGTAATGGAAGAAACTTCCCAAATAGGCGAGGGCTGCCTTATTGGACCCGACGTGGCGGTGGGACCTGGTTGTGTGGTGGAGAGTGGGGTCCGGCTCTCAAGGTGTTCAGTTATGCAGGGGGCTCGCATTAAGGAGCATGCCGTTGTGTCAGGAAGCATCGTGGGGTGGCACTCAACAGTCGGGGAGTGGGCCCATATAGAAAATATGTCGGTGCTTGGCGAGGACGTGCATGTGAGGGACGAGGTATATTGCAATGGTGGACTTGTGCTCCCCCATAAGGAGATCAAGACCAATATTGATAGGCCCGAGATAGTCATGTAGTTCAGGGTTTAGGGTCGAGGGCATTGGTGCTTTATGGGCCTCTTTTCCTTTTGGTTGCTTGGGTTCTCTGCACCATTCCTTGGCTCATAAAAGGACCATGGTATGTTGTGCCGTTAGAATAGAAGAGGAAGCTGAAATATCTTTCCCAAAAAAAACAAAAACAAAAACAAAAGTGAAACAGAAAAAATAAAAATAAAAAACAAAAACAAAAAGATTACCACAGGAAGCATGTTAACATGTTACACAGATATGAGGGGATTGGTTCGACAGCTATTTAAGGTGTTGCAGGTGCATTTTTGTGTTTGATGTTGTTCCTGGTGAAATTTAAAAAGAATAGCCCATGTGGTGGACATGATAGATTTTCTTTCACTTTTGATGAGCAACATTTCTTCATTAATGAAATGGGTGGGATCAAATCATTTTGCTATGGTTATTTGGTGTTTTAGAGAAATCATTTATGAAGTTCCTTTTCACTTTTTCGAAATCATGAAAAGTGGTCTACAATTCTGTTAAAGACATGATATGTTGTTTCTTTTGTTGAATTGGACATTAATCCATAGGGGAATCAAGGGTAAAAAGCTTAATGTTTCAACTCATATGGGTTAGATCAAACTTTTACATATAGAAAGAAAGCAATAAAATGCTTAAGCCAATTTAAATATTCGAGTCCCACATTGCACTCGTAGCTGTCTAAATCTTTAGTTGTTATTATTTTTGTTTGTCTTAATAATGATGCAATGGGTTTAGAGAAAAAAGTTTTTCATTGGATTACTCTTGACTATAATTATTATTTTGAGATATGCATCTAATTTTATAGAATTTTTCGTTTAGGAATATATTGTTTGTATTTAGGAATATATATATAAAAAGTCTTCCCAATGCTTATAGACGAAAATGAATAGTGATTTCGTCTATGTTCATCACCGTTTAAAGTTCATCGCACAGTTATGATTGTATAGGCCAAAATGAATAGTGATTTCATTTTTTTTTTTATAAATTAGAATAATCTGAAATTTGAAACGCGTGTACATCTTAGTGAAGAGTAATTAATAAAAATATGAAAAAATTATTTCACAAAATATAAATTGATCAAAACACCCTTATAAATTTTTAGGGATATTTTGGTCAATTTATATTATACGAATTATTTCTTTTATATTTTTATTAGATTTTCTTATTTTTGATGAATACACATTTCAAATTTTAGATAATTTTGATTTGTAGAAAAATAATGAAAATTAAAACATTACTGAACAACTGTGATCGTACGATGAACTTTAGATGGTGGTGAGTATAGATGAAATCACTGTCTATTTTTTCCTATAAACGTTGCGTAGTGTTTTATATATATATATATATATATATATATATATGCCCTTGAACAATTGGACTTAGGATCCTTCCAAGTCCCGACCAGAGATTGTACTTTCATCGCATAGGGTTTTTGCTCTTTGAAGATTCTCATAGAAAGCATATTAACTTCCAAAGGACAAAATCTGGTGATGCTTTTTAAATTTATTTGTTTACTCCACCTATAATTTAATGATCCTTCTATAAGTAAAGTTGCAACTTTATATACACCATCATCGCTCGAGCTTATTTTCACTATTTGGTTCTAATTTTGTCCGGCTGTTACAACTGTTCTTGTAAAGCACCAAATATGCTTAGTCTTAATTTTGAGAAATTAGTCAAATCATAGCCAAGAGAATCACCATTTAACATTTACTCGTTAATCATTTTTGTTTCACCTTCAAAAAGGCCGTTCATGTACGAAACACGAGAGAACAAAAATTCATGGGAAGCAATTTTTAGTAATACCCCTCCATCAAAATCATAAGCGGAAATAAAGAAAACCGAGGTAATGGAAATTCAGCTGGAAATATCTCTCTTATTATTATAAGAGATTAAATTTATCATTTCATTTGTTTCCCTCCAATTTTCTTTTAGAATATCTCTCTCTCCCTCTCCCCAAAACTAGCAACACTAGATAAAAGCAATCCCAATTTGTTTGAGTGAAATTTTCACATCGCTCTTGGTAACTCAATCTTATCCTTAAAATTCTAAATAAAATACTGAAGAAAAACTTTATATAAGGTTGCCACCTTATACTATAGAAGTAAGGTACATATAAAAAAGGGAAAAGTTTATATCGAGCCGAGATTCTAAGCAATCAATTTTGAGCCTACCTCAAAAAGTTTACTAGAAGAGGTTGTCTTGATACCCAAATATCTTCAAATTGATCATCTCGACATCAAAATTTATGGCCATGAGAAAAAAAAAATAGATTTCAAGTTTTGAAAATAGTGTATTTTGTAATGCATTTTTAAACCGTCAATTTTCAAGAATTTCCTAGATATGTTGATCAACCCTTATTTTTTATGCTTTGAACTTTACAAATAACCATAAAAATATATTCTAAAGCTATCACAAAGATTTCTGGTAGTAAAACTACATTTCTCGATACTATTTGAAGGTAGGCTCTAATTTGATTGTTTAGAGCCTAGGCTACTCTATACAAACCGCACCCTATAAAAAATCCATAGAAAAAAGTGTTCTAAAGTTAGAAAATCTGCAGATGAACGTCAGGATGCGTGTATAGAGAAAACCGGAACATCAAAATGTGTAGACATAGACAAAAACAAAGAACTTCAAATGTTAAAAATTGAGCATTTTGTAATAAATCATTTAGACAGTCTATTTTCAATATTTTTAAGTATTTATAAATCTATTTCTGTACCATTTTAGAAATTATAAATTTCACAATTAGTGTTAAACATGGATTTTTAAGCCATTTGAAAGTAGAGTTCTAAGTTCTAAGCTACGTCTTCCTCAAATCCTCAAATTTTAAAAATAGGCCCTACTTGTACAGTATATTAGCTGCTAAGACTACTCATCATAGATGGCCAGATCAATATGCTAGTTGGAGAAAGAGAACCAAAAAACCTCGGCTTCGGGATTCCTTGTTGGAGAGTCGCTCACTCTTGTTCTACCCTGTAAGGTCTCAGTTACTCACTCTCATTCTCCCAGTAAGAGTTTCCTTTTCTAATTGGTCTATATTGCGTGTGTTTCTCCTTTCTTCTTTTTTTTCTGAGCGAGTAAGCAAGGTGGAATTGGAACTCTCGACATTCATGGCCCCCATTACCGAGCCACGAGCCAAGTGCCCCGTCGCAAAGATAGTTCAGCTTGGTTACTTATTTTGGATAGATAGCTTGAACATTATGCTCCGGCTAACAAACCGTGGTGTCTACCACTAATGTTAGTATATATATATATATATATATATAGAGAGAGAGAGAGGAGGGGGAAGGGGGGGTAACGTACGAGTGACGTACGAACGTAGACGACTAATAACTACTAACTAACGTAAAGACGGAAACCGTAA